AAGAACGCCTGCTGCCTGGGCCCCGGCTCCTCCAACCCCACGCCCGCACCGCTGCCGCCGCCCCCAACGCCGCCGTTGCCGCTGGGCCGGGCGCCGGTGCCGCTGGCGCGCGGCGGCGCGCCGGCGGCGGTGGGGTCCTTGCTGCGTATCTTCTCCGCCAGGCGGTTGACGTGCTCGGTGACGTCAGCGACCTCGATGGTGTCCTGAAGCTTGGCCATCATGGAGCTCGCCAGCTTGCTGGACGCGGGGTTCACCTGATGGGTTCGTCACGGAAGGCGGAGGGGCACGCAGGCAGGGGCCGGCCGTCGGGGCGGGAGCCGCAGCCCCGTGTGCGGCTTCCACGCAGCTGCCTCCCGGCTCGCTCACGGGCTTGCTCGTCCCCTGCAGGATGGAATCTTGCGCCGGTTCTGGCATCGGGTGTGTGAATGTGCTGCGCTGCGGGGGGCAGCGGGGGTGGGGTCTCTCACCTTGAAGGCTCCCCCTAGGACTTTGCGGTTGGCTGGCACCTTGAGCAGGATCCACATGCTGCGGGGGGCGCGTAACAGGGTGCGTGGAATCGTGTGATTGTGTGTGTGCGCGCTATTGTGTGTGTGTGTGTGTGTGTGTGTGTGTGCACGTACGCGTGCATGCGCGCGCACGCGCATGTGTGTGTGTGTGTGTGTGTGTGTGTGTGTGTGATATGAGAGGGGGTAGGACTGCGGGGCCCCGCCGCTACAGCAGCAAAATTGGCATGCGCTTGCCCGCATGCCAACGCGCCGCGCAAAGGGCAAGAGCAGCGGGAGCGACGGCGCCCAGACAACAACCCCGTGAGCAGCCGCCATCCGGAGCCGCTGCGCTGCAGGCACAGGCCCCTGCGCAGCCCCCCCTCGCCCGGCCACAGCAAAGAGCCCCCCATCATGCCCCTCAGCATAGTTCATGTCAGCCGTGCGCACCCCTCTCTCAGAACCCACTCCCTCACCAACCCTGCACCACCACACCCACTCCTCCGACTCTCCTGCGCACGCGACAGCCACTGCGCACAATCCCCCCCTCGACCCCGAATTACAAAACCAGCCCTTGGTAATTGATATGCGTAATGTAGCCACCATCTGACCCCCCTCACCCGGCCATCAGGTACTCCACCATCTCCACATTAGTGTTGCTGGTCATGAGGGCGGCGTACATCGCCAGCTCAGCGGGGTCAACGGCGCCGGCCTGGCGGCGGTCGGGAGCCACGGGGTGGCGCGTGCTTGGTGGGTGGGGGTGAAGACGGGTCTGAGTGCGGATGCGATGCTTGGGCGGCGCCAGGGTGAGGGGCGGCCCTTGGTCAGATGCGGCTATCTGAGGGGTCTGGAGAGGCCTCGAGGGCTGTGTGGTGGCCGAGACACTGTGCAAGCCGATCGGCACACCCGGAACAGCAAACAGGAGTAGTCATCCGCATCGAGCAACCTCCCGTTCAGTAAATTTGCGGCCTCCCACACATCCAGCCACGCGGGGTCCAGGCCCTTGATGCATGCAGGAACCCTGAGCCATGGTGGGGTTCAGGGTTCAATCCTCATGCATCCTGAACCCTGGACCCCTCACCATGGTCGAGAGGTACATGATGCCGACCGCTGCCGTCTGCTGAATAATCGGATCGCACCGCTCCCCCGCGCCGCTGCTCAGCGCCGTGCGCAGCAGCGCGCCGAAGGCGCCCGCCTGCGGGCGGGGGCCAGGGCAGAATCGTCAGTAGGCGCCCGGGCAAGCTTTTCTTGGTGCCGTTGTGCACATGCCTAGAGGCTAAACCCTGAGAAAGGTCACCCAAAACCACGACCCTCAAAGCAGTCCGTCGCCGGTCTCGTGCAGGGCCAGGGGCCAGGGCGCGGCGGGGCGGAGCGCAGCGCGGGCGGTGGGGAGGGATGCCGTCCCCTCCCCCGCGCCCTGGGCGCAAGGGGTGCGGCCGACCTGCAGCAGGCGCGTCCTGAAGGGCCCCACGAGGCATGCGTCCCCGTGCGCCCCCAGCGGGTGGCAGGCCAGGAAGGCAAGGGTGGTGCAGGCCGCGGCGCGGATGTCGGGGGCGTGGGAGAAGCAGGGCTCCTCGTCGACCTGGCGGGGCGGGGTTTAGGGCGTGAGGGGGATCAGGATGAGGGTTGTCGCAGGATCAAGATTGTCGCAGCCCTGGAGCCATTCAGGTTCATGAGATTGGACTTTGGAGCATCAACAATGGGGGCGGGTGCATGTGGCTGCCGTCCGCGACGTTCTAAGCAGGCGACGAGGGGGGGAGGGGGGTGGTAGTGTCGAGGCATGGGATGGCGGCCTGATGGGTGCAAATGAAGCTTGTTGAGCAAGAGGCCGGGGTTCAAGGGTTCCGGGGGATCGTAAGGGTGGGCAGGGCGCAACGAACAAGCCCCGGCGGCCGCTACGCGGCGCCTCCGCGTCGCCACTAGCGGCTCGGCGCGGCGCTCACGCGCCTGCCGCCGCAACACCCTCCCCCACATGTCAGTTGCGATGCTGCACGGCAT